TGCACTCGACGAGTCTTGGGGTGACTCGGCGAGTAGGGTCGCTAAGTGAGGGAAGTTCTGAGTATAAGGACTCGACGAGTCTTGGGGTGACTCGGCGAGTAGGGTCTGTCAGGGGTTGACTTTGTCCCTTGACCAAGGATTTGACCAGTTGTCTTCCAGGGGTATTTTGGTAATCATGGGAGTTTATTGGGTTATTGTTGATTTTCAGTGGAGGAGTTGTGTCAGAGTTCGGAGCAGCGGGATCTTATCTTTTCAGCCGTCAGTCGAGGTGAGTTATCCTCACTATATCAACAGGGTCTAAGGCACCAAGGCCGCCCCTTTATTGTATTGAGATTCAGTTACGTTATCATGTTAGTGCTGGTTGTGTCTGCATCCTGGTAGTTAGGATGGTACATGCTAGGGGACCTTGTAAAGGTCAGTTCTCGATATGTTGAGTAATGCTATGCTAGTGATCGAATAGGGCGGTAGCCCGGTTAGGGTAATGATATGCTATGTGATCTGTTTACTCGGTTTGTTGATTATGATTGTTATATGACTGTATGTTTTGTGCACATGGTTGTTTGGATTAGAGATGGGTTGAGGCGGGTCCTGCTTTGTGCTGTAGGCCAAGATACCCAGGGCGGACCGGTTGTTCCGAAGGCCCAGCGAGCGGTCCGGATAGGCTGTAGGCCCCACGAGGGCGGACCAGACGTGCCGAGGCTCGGAGAGTGGACCAGGATGACTGAAGGCCCGATGCGGGCGGACCGGTCACACTGTAGACTCAGAGGACATGACTAGACCCGGAGGATGGATCCGACGGACTGAAGGCCTGATAAGGCGGACCAGTCACGATAGACCCGATATGCATGATTGTTCTATGATCCGTTTTGTTATGTATGATTTATATGTTTTGGACCGGAAGGTCACGGCCTGGAAAAGGCGTATGCGTGGTTGGTATTTTGGGGGTATCTCACTAAGCTTTCGGGCTTACAGTTGTGGTTTAATGTTTTTCAGGTTCTTCAGGAGACTGTGGCAAGGCGAAGGCGCGATCGTACCGTTCCTCATGATTTTGTAACAACGTGATTCTGGGAATACTTAAATGAATTATATTGAAAACCTTTTGTGAACATTTTAATGAAAATCGGGTTGTTTGAAAATTTAAATTGGTTGTGTTTTTTCGGATGTTACAAGTTGGTATCAGAGCCTTGGTTTGAGTGAATTGGAGGAACACTTGTGTGACTCCAGTCTCAAATCGAGGAGAGTTTTCAAAAAGAGAAATTAAAATGGTTTTCAAAACAAGTAAAGGAGGACGCGGAGGTACGATCAGCCGGAGCCAGTAAGTAACCCCAAAATATCATACATGGCAATTGTTTTATTGAGCTTTGATAGAACAGCATGCTAGAGTTAGGCTAGGGATCTTCAGGATTTATTGATGAGTTGCCTGATTTATGATGCCTGCTAGCCTAGGGTTCCTTGCGAGAGATTTCTAGTGTTCCTCTAGTGGTGAGGATAGAGCGTTGTTATGTGTGTCGCTAGGGTGTTGTGGGAGTACTTCATACAAATATGGGTTGGTGTGGAAGGTAGTATGGGCCCGTACTACTGAAAGCACGGACTCATACGCGTATCAGGGAAATCATGACCTCTAGGGTTGGGATGAGAGTTGGTTCCCGATTAGTGGTATATGTCTGAGATTGGTGTTTTATTTTCAGTATGGAGATTCCAGGGCACGCTGGGGGTGGATCCGGGCCAGGATCAGGAGCAGGAGAGGGAGCTCCAAGTGGGTCTGCACAGCCAGAGGTTGTCAGTCAGATGAGTACGCGCGAGTTGGATGCGAGGATTCGCGAGATTCTGCATGATGAGGTTGCCGCATTGATTCGGGCTGAGCTGCCAGAGTTGTTTGGGTCGATCAAGACCGCCATGGTGGAGTATTTTGATGAGCGTTATGCGGCTCTCACGGAGACGGCTGCCGCGGCGGCTACCGCAGCAGTAGCGGCGGCAGGAGGAGGAGCCAGTAGAGGTTTTCAGTATCGGGACTTCGATAATACGAAGCCTCCCACTTTTGATGGAGTTCAGGATCCGATCGTTGCTATGAGGTGGTTATCAGATGTGGAAGGATGTTTCTTCACTTGTTCATGCCCTGCTGATCAGAGGGTGAGGTGTGCTTTGAACCTGTTGAGGCTCGGAGCAAAGGATTGGTGGAGATTGACCACGGGATCGTATTCGGATGCGCAGAGGGCTGCGATTTCATGGGATCGGTTCAGGGAGATGTTCAGTACTCGCTATGTTCCACAGGTCGAGAGGGAGAGGTTGGCTCAGGAGTTCTTGGAGCTAAAGCAGGATTCGGAATCGGTGACGGAAATCACCAGGATGTTTACTGAGAGGGCGATGTTTTGTCCTGAGTTCGCTTCGGAGCAGGCTCAGATGTCCCGATATCTGAGTATGCTAAAGAGGGATATCAGACAGTTTGTGTCTGCGCAGAGGTGCGAGACTTTGCTGGAGTTGCAGGAGGCCGCCAGGCGGCGTGAGTTAGAGATTGAGTTACAGATGCGTGAGCTGAGGCAAGCTCCGGTTCAGTCGCAGCCGGCGACGAAACGGTCTAAGACCGTTGATTTCAGGATGGGAAATCAGGGTGGCCACGTCTGTGGTAAGTGTGGAAGGGGTCATGTCGGGGTTTGTCGGTCCGGTGGAGCATGCCGCAAGTGCGGGAAGGAGGGACACTATGCGAGGGATTGTCGGCAGTCGGTGCCGGTTCGGGATTTGAGGATATGCTATCATTGTCATCAGGTTGGACATTTGAAGGTCAACTGTCCACAGATTGCTGCAGGATCGGTGCAGGCTCCAGCACCGGCTACGCTGAGGATCACAGGTGGAGGTCAGGGTGGAGCGGAGCCCCCAAGGGCTTAGGGTCGTGTTTTTCAGCTTGCTGTTGCGGGTATGTTTCTTTCTGATGTTTTAATTATTTATGCTTGTTGTGGAGTATTGTTATCTGCTAGTTTCGTTGGTTGGCTATGGAAATTGCGTTTCGGGTTTCTTGTGGTATTCGTTGTTCCTTGAGGGATTGGCGAGTTGTGATCGGAATTTTGGTGTTAGTATCTTGTGTCCCTTGAGGGATCGTTATGGTTTTGGGATTGTACTTCGAGCCATCATTGATGATCTTTGAGAAGATTGGTGGCGGATGCGGTGTTAGTTTGGAGGCTAGTTGGACTCTGCAATCTGAGGAATGGAAAGATGAAGATTGAGTCGCTTTCGAGCGGGTTGGTCAGCGTAGGAGCGTGATTTGTATGAAAGTTGTCGGGTACTGGTGAAACGCACTTGGAGTGCATGTGCTGATTCCTACGAGGTGCTTGGGAGATCGGTGATGGCGACCGGTGATTATCTGTCAGCGTCTTAAGTGGGGGAGAATTGGAAATTCTCTGGATGGTCGCTGGGCATGGAAGGTTGTTTAGCCGCTTGGGAATTCAGCGGTATTTCTATCAGATGAGAGCAGGCTCGGATGGATGAGCAGTAGGCGTGCGGGGCGAAATACAGACCTAGAGCAGTTGATTGAGGAAGGCATGGGAGCAGGCCGGGATCGAGTATGTATGATGGAGGTAGAGTTCGGAACCCCTAGAGGGCTAGAACGGTATGCACGGGAGGATTTCCCGAAGAGATAGTTGGAATGATGAGTGATTGTGGGGCGGTCCGGATAGACTGGAGGCCGGTAGGCGTACCAGTCAGGCCGAAGGCTCGGAGGACGGTCCAGTCAGATTGGCTGAAGGTTCTGAGAGTGGTCCAGATTGGCTGAAGGCCCGGGGAGGCGGTCCAGTCATGCTGAAGACTCTGCGGGTAATATTGAATCGGTTAGAGGCTATGGGTTGCGTATGTCGCGATGGGATTACATTGGGAGGTCTGGCCCCGGCTAGCGATCTTGAGCAGTGAAGGTAGTGCATGGGCTTGAGAGTCCTTGTGCTAAGAGCCAGAGTAGTGGTAATGCATGGA